TTTTTGTTAAATTAACTGAAAGAATACATAACGTAAAATAGATTTTTTTATCAAAACAAATTCAAGCATTAAATTAAAAAAAAACTGTTCATAACACTGCAGTCAATTGAAAAATTCCCCAAATAATCCATCATCTGATGTACTAATCCTCGTGGAAAATTTTAAGGTCCCCACTACCAATTTCCATACCTGAACTCCAAGTACAATCAGAAACCTTTCGCAATTTCAGTTCGTGGGCCACCGTTACCAGGGGATAAATAGCTACGCGGAAGTAGCCCCGAACGATGCACTCACAAAAAAAAAGCCTTAGCTGGGTAAGGGAATGCTGCGCAGTAGGCCAAAAAGAAGTTGAAAGAAGGTTGGTGATCCAAATAGTATTTGTAGCTTTAGAAACTGCCGCATGAATGGTTTCTGCAGTCGTTCTGGAGTTTTCATAGAAAACTTAATATATGAGCAATGAGGTTTGTTAAACGTCAAGATATTTTTATAAGTATATGTATATTATTGTATACAGCAAGGTTACTGTACGTGTCTCTATTTTTCGAGTAACGCTAAATATGATTTCGGGCCCGTGCAAAAATATCATACCGAGCGATAAGAAGTATTCACTTAGAATTTTTTTTTTAAATACGAGACCTATATGTAAAGTCTGTTTTAGACTATAACATAAAATGATATAAGAAAATGGTATACTAAGTTTTGTCATAATGTAAAACAGAAAACAAAATCTGTTAACAAAAAATGGTATAGAAATTAGAACATGTCCTATTTTGATACCAATGTGATATAACTATTGACAATAATACCATACAACAAACAGACACTTACAAATATCTGGGACACGAAATCAAAATAAGCAGAGACAATCAAACACATGCAATACAGAGGCGAATAGGTCTAACATGGGCAGCATTTGGCAAATTAAGCCATATTCTAAAAAGTTCAATTCCCATGTGTCTCAAGCGAAAGGTTTATAACCAATGTGTTTTACCTGTACAAACTTATGGAACAAATCAGGCGAAGATCAGGAGTTCAAGACGTCATCGAAAGAACCACGACGCTTAAGTGGAACTGGGCAGGGCACTTAGCCAGAACACAAGATGGACGGTGGACAAGACGTATTATGGAATGGAGGCCCAGAAATTATAAAAGAAGCCGAGGACGACCACCGACTAGATGGACCGATGGCATTAAACGTGTAGCGGGAAACTGGCTACAAGCGGCCCAGTGTAGAGAACACTGGAAAGAACTGAGGGAGGCCTATGTCCAGCAGTGGACGCGATTGGCTGATTGATGATGATGATGATAATTTAACATAACTATTTAATATACTATGGTGAGAATAAATAAATATTGATTGTCGGTAATTCATAAAGTTCTATTTTATTTACTATTTAGTTTGTTTACTATTAATATTGGCGATGAATACGTGTGCTTGGTTGTATAGTAATTTCCAGCCACTTTTAGTTTGTCAAAAGTAACTAACTTCGCAAAAAAATAATTACTAGATTCACTAGACAATTCGGACTGGGAATAGCGAACCGACTATATAATGTATATGTTATATGCTTCAAATACAAAGAGATAAAACTTTTAAAAGGTACATTTTTATTATATTATTTTATGGATTCTGCAATTTTATACCTTGCATAAAACAATAATAAATTAAAGTTTGTTTTGTTTGATATTAATTGAAATTAATTTTTTTAGCGAGCAAAAAGACAAAAGAGGGAATCTAATCGTTAGGAAGAGGAGATCAAAAAAGTGGCCTCTGATGGCGGACATATCCGGAAATGCGAATGCGCCAAATTTAAATTTTCCGACACTCATTAACAGAAGCTAAAAAATAGTTTTCAGAATGTGTCTTAGACGAGAAACTTTAGATAAATATTAACTATATCAGTCTAAAACGTGACACAATTGTTAAAAATCTTCAATATAAATAAGATTTCATGTGACAGTTGGGACAAACAATAACATAACCCAACTAAATTTGATTTCTTAAACAAGGAAAGACTCTATTTCCTTGTTTAATGTGGCCTCTCAAGATGGCACTTCCTGTCTAACAATATTTTGCCCCCACTACTTTTACATTCCCTCTTTTGTCTTTTTGCTCGATGACCATAATATATATCTTAGACAAGGAAAGAGAGAGGACGGGTAACGCTCGTTCAACCAACCTTCAAAAAGTGAAGCCACTTTTCGATGCGTCCGCCATTTTTTTGGTGGCAAAAAATAGATCTGACAGCAGTTTTGTTTTTGTGGTTTTTTTTAAAACGTGAATTAAATACCTATTTCTTTTTACTTAATAAAATGGTGAATTGTGCATATATTCTTTGTAAAAATTGCAGCAAGCAGAAGGAAAATACCAGGAATATCGTTTCATATGTAAATATTTATAATAGTGCAATTAGGTATTATTTGATTTTACTTTTTATTTGAATTTTAAACCTCAAAACCAATTTAAATTAGTATTTTAAGCAAAGGTGAGATCTAAATTAGTACACTTCATCTAATTTATATAACGATGCACGTCATCGGCGTCATAGCCTGTGACGTCATATGATACCAACACGAAATATTTAGGGTTTAGATGTGTTCTTTTTAGAATCACTTTACCGTGTACACTGGCATTACAGCCACTAGACATATTTTATTATATACGCGTTGAAATAATATTTAAAAATTTCTATTTATGTTAACTTAAAGAAATACACAATAATATGTTTCATTTAATTTGTATAAATTCATTATAAAGAGTTTTTATTAAGAACATTTGTTCGGAACACACTGTAACTGTAATCGAACGAAGGTAAAATTTTGGCATAAATTGGTAACACTTATTTGACAGTTACGGTGTTGACACTTTTTGTACTTTATTATTTTAAATTTTAAAGTGAATACCTCTTGTTTTATATTTTTACCTATTTAATAAAATCTGTTCCATTTAGAACAAAATTAGTGTGTTTTATTTCAAAAATGTCACGTAAGAATTTAAATAGTTGTTGTAAAGAGATGGTAATACTTTTGCAATAATTATGTGACCAATTTGATTTAAAATGGAGTCAGGATTTTTTTATACTTTGGCAACTATGTCAACTTCGATCTCTGACGTAGATAATGACGTAAGTCGTTATCTAAATTAGATGAAGTATAAATAAGAATGCTAAATATGCGTTGTTATTTCAGTAATTGTATTATAATTAATAATTTCACTCACACACCATGATGATTTGCCAGTGGCGATGTGAGTTGAGTGTTAAAATTCCACAAATAAGTAAATAAATAAATTTCGTTAATTTTGATTTCAAAATATTTGTATAAAATAAAATAAATTAAGTAAAACATTTAATGTACAAAAATGTTTCATTTTAAATACGAATTAGTCAATCCTTAAAAATACAAAGATACAGTCTGTCCCAAACCCTTTTTTCAGTGCGTCACTAATTTTGACGTCATATAGGATTTAAAGAATGTCGAGAATTATTGCATGACATTTTAGTTAAATCTGACAGTTGCAGGATCGTAATCGGCTAATGTGAAAAGGTTATTTTTTTTAAATGCATAGCAGTTTGTCATAATTCTGTTCTATTTTATACATTCCAGGGAAAGTGCTTAATTAGCTTAGATTTGTTTATGGATTTATTATTATTTATTACAAACACACAGGCATATTGCAATAACAATTGCAATTGCAAGGCATCAAAGTAAACATTCCTATGATAAAATAACATCGATTTAAATCAGTCATATTTGGATAAGTAATTTTCTGATAAGTTTCTGTGGCAGCCAATAGTTTAATTTTGTGAAGATTTGTCATTAAATAGTGGAAATAGTTTAAATAGTGAAGCAGTTGATTTTTGAGTTATTCTACCAGATTTGGTGTGCAAATGAAAGGTTATAAAGTTTAGTTAAAAAAACAATATAAATAGTTTAAATAGTGAAGCAGTTGATTTTTGAGTTAATCTACCAGTTCCGGTATCCAGATGAAATCGTGTTAATGGAGTTTAGTTAAAAAACAAGATACCGAATGTAAATTTAACTTCTTTATGAATAACAAAAATGAATATTATATCTCAAACAATCCATAATCCCATTCAGAATCTGATTCTTTAAAATCAATGATTACACTAGATATGTGGCTGGTATCAATTATATCTTACATTTCAAGAAAATGTGGTTCTAAATAGAACCGTTTTAATACATATAAATATCCATAACGGTATTAGTTTAAGATATTTTCTCAATATCATTCCGGAATTCACAATCTGATTCGCGAACGACAGAAACTGATAATAAAGATAACTCAGCCTCTTTTTCGAATTGAAACTAATTTAATAATTTTAATATTAGTCTTTGTTCATTCTCGGTATATCTCGGAATATTTAAAATATTTTTATGACAATAAATACAAAATTTAATTTTCACTGCAGGTAAAATGTCTGAAAATACACTAACCTGGAACGGCAATTATCATTTTATCAGTTGACATTGTGAAAGTACTGTCACTGTCATTATCAAGATCATCTGTGTCAAATTATATTTATATGCATAATTGATTGGATATCTATTTAGCGTATTCTAAACTCCAACCAATTATACGTTCGTAAGTAGAATTCGCTTTAATGTGCGAATACCCGTGACCGATACCTAATTTTCTAAGTTCTATGTATAATAATCAGAGACTCACGTTTTTTTCTGTCACTTCTAGCTTAATGCGTTAGAGAGAATTCGAACAACTATGACGCACTGAAAGAAGGGTTTGGGACGGACTGTATCATGCTTTTGCCCATTTTATTTATATATACTTCATCTAATTTACTCACCGTTGCACGTCATTATCATAGATCGAACTTAATATAGTTGCCAAAGTATATAAAAAAAATCCTGACTCCATTTTAAATCAAATAGGCCACATAATTATTGAAAAAGTATTATCATCTCTTTACAACGACTATTTAAATTCTTACGTGACATTTTTGAAATAAAACACTAATTTTGTTCTAAAAAGAACAGGTTTTATTAAAGGTAAAAATATAAAACAAGAGGTAGATGTAAAAAAAAATAAAGTACAAAAAGTCTTAACATCGCAATTGTCAATAAGTGTTACCAATTTATGCCAAAATATCACCTTCGTTCGATTACAGTTACAGTATGTTCCGAACAAATGTTCTTTATAAAGCATTTACAAATTAAATGAAAAATATTATTGTGTATTTCTTTAAGTTAACACTAATAGTGTTTCTTGACTAGTGTGCTTCTAGGCAACGAATTCAAAAACTGCTTTCCCCTGTCTCCTTAAGGTTTTTTTTTAACACATGTAAGTAATTTCACACCTATTTTTTCAGATCAATTTTTTTTTTGCATTAACAACTTTATGTGTAATATATAATGCACTATTTATTTAATAAAATCGCAAAAATTATGGTAAGTTTGATACATACCTACCACTTTTCACAAGTGGGGTTAACGGGGAAGGATGATGAATATTAGTTGGGTTAAAAAAAGAGTCAAAGTGAAACGCCACCTTTTACTGTAACATTTTAAAGAACACAATGGTAATTTATATATTACAGTGATTCACAACACGTGGTATTTATTGAAAAAATGAATAGTCATTACTACAAATAGAAAACTTAAGTACATAAAACGTACCATGAAACCTTGGCACCCACATCAACACCTAAGGAAATTTTTAGCCATTCTACAAAGCATAGTTAATGTTGGAAAAGCCAGATGACTCTTTCGGAACGAATTAGCGACATTTCTAATAATCGGCTCGTTAACAGCAGTAATTGCATTTTGAACTGTTACCAGATTATTAATCAATTTGTGTGCGAAACTTTTAGTTTCGAGAAGTTTAGTTTCTTTTAGTTTTAGAAAAGTGGAAGATTGTCACTAATTTATTCTGAGAATGTCTTGGCTTTTAATAAGGACCTTGTGTTTTAAAAAACGTCGTAATATAAAAATATATTTCTATACAGGATTTGTTTATGTGTGGGTTTCAACGTATTTATTTGCCACAATTGGTAGGTACAACTTTAAAAATTCTATTTATCTACATATGCACAAATAAATATTTTTATAATAAAAACAATATAAAACTTGTTGAACTGCTGTTTGTACTACTATTATTGTACATATTTATTACAACAGGTATAGGTCAGTGTATATTACACTAAACTTAATATTGATTCGAGAATATGGGACGCCTTCTAGAAAAGGTAAGAACATTGTGGCCCCAAAAGAAATACTAAAAGTAGGCAGTGTTAAATTATCAACAGATAATACATTTAACGCGAATGGTTTAGATTCAGAGAAATCAAAACAAAAATACGTTATTTGCAATATCTGAAGAATGATATGTTTGGCAAGATTGATTATTGTTACCGTTTCAATCAACCAAACTTTGTAGAATGACCAACAGACACTTTATTTTTCACTACTTTTAAGTGCAACATTAACTAAAAATTAAATGCAATTTTTCTAAAATTATTTGTGTTATGTTATAAAATATGTTTAATGTTAGGGCTAGATCAAAATATTCACACAGGTTTGCCCCTACATTTTACATTATTTAATTACATACATATATAAAAACATAAGAAACTTCTGAACACGAATATATTTTCAAGAGAAACCTAAGCTTCTACTTCTGTATCTGCTTTCGCTTCCGCTGATTCTTTTTCATCCAGCTTGGCTTTTTTCTCAGGTGTGGCACTTTCAACGTCCACACTATCTGTTGCATCTCCGCCGCCCGTAGATTTCCTCTTTGCGGCAGGTTTTTCTGAAAATAAAAGAATGTACAATTAATATTTTATATTGTAGAATTAAGATTTGATTCCATATACTATTAGACCAGGGCGAATCTATTTTGAGGTGGATGTGAGAGGTGGCATTAGGATTTTTACAAAAAAAAAAGTTGTATGAGAGCGCGAGTAATAATATTCGACTTATCCTTCCTCTCAAATAGATCCGGAATGTTAATAATAAAAAGAGATTTAGAAATTACTACAAACATCGGTTTTTTTACTTTCCTTGCTGGGGACTTGATGACTTTGCCCCAATGCTTGAAGTGACTAGCGATTTTGATCTTAAAGAAATAAATGTTGCGCGACTTTTGTTATTTTTTATGATTCTCATGAGATTAATAAAATTTATCACTTCCATTGATTGGTAACTATAAAATTTTCTAGAGCCGAATCTTCAAAATATACATAAAATTTTGATTTTTAGTTTTGACAACCAATAAGAGACATTTGAAATATGTCTAAAACATGCCGAATTTAAACTTTCATATCACGAACAATCGCACGTCACTGGAAATACTTCCAAGAATACGGTATTCTGTGGAATTGGTAGCTCAAGTTGTACGTTTCGAAAAACGTACTTGTGTAATCAAAAGGAAGCAGTTTTAAACAAGATCGTTTGTAATGTGAAAGTTTAAATTCAGCGTTTTTACAAATATTTGTTGTCCAAATTCAAAATCGCAATTTTATGTTATAGGTTTTGAAGATTAGATCTAATAATGGAAATTTGACAGCGATCTCATGAGAATCATCAAAAAGAGTAAACAAAAATAAAGACTGACTCCTGAAAGCTGCCTTCTTAAACTTATCTGGACAATATTTTGGAAAAATTATTCCTCAATAAAAATAATAAAGTAAATGAAATGATAGTGAAACAATATGGACATTGTAGCAATTTAAATGTGGAAAGTTTATTCAATATGGCTACAAATTTTGGGATTTTGTTGGAAGTAGCGGATATTATCCTAATTTTGACTTTTATATTTGCAAAACAATCGCTAAAAGTGAACGCGAATATTTGGCCGTATCATCTCAAGAAGTATTTGATAATAGATTGCATTTCTGAACCTGCAAGCCATTGGGTATATTTTAGTAAGTTATTTACCAGCAGAGATTTATTATTTCATTTACAAAAATGTGAATACCGAAGAACCTTGCGGGAAAATATATTAGCGGAAGTGTCCTTGGGGGGGTTGGTTGGGAATTTGTTGAGTAACAGTGTCGGAATAGGGTGCTGGGGGGGGGCTTTAACGCTCAACCCCCCAAAGCGCTACATAGGACTCCTATAGAAGATACAACAAATTTTAATAAAAAGCTGTTGGATCATATGATTTTCGATTTGATGTAGATGGAGAAATACTTTTTGTAAAATGAAACGATAATAAATGTATAGCAACTAATATTGATAATAGACCACTCGCACAAGCTAGTAAATGGAATCATAAGCTCAAATAAAACGTTTATTTCTTAACCGCAAGTATATAATACTTAATAGGATAATAGGAGGCATGGATCACCACTCGATCTGTAGCAGTTTCCTACCTAAACTTGACTCTTAGTATAAAATGATCGAGAACATTAACATCTAAAGTATTTACGGACATAAAATTGTATATGATCAGTTGAATTTAAATAAATACGTTCATATTGAATTTGATCACAATTTAACTGAAGATCAAAAACAAAGAAACACTTTTGATTCGAACGACTCAACTTTTGATTTATGCTGGGACTGGGATTTATTAACTGGGAAAGCAAAAACAATTAATGATTTTAGTGTTAAAGACCAAGCAAAACCAACAAGTCATGCGATGTCAGTGTTTTTAAGAAACTGATTTTCTATATAAATGTATGTCAGATATTAGACAATATTGCATGTTTTTACATTGGTAGATATAGAATTTAATAATATACATATTACTATGTCTGGCACATAACTTACTCTTTCAAATTTAAACCAAGTACAATTTCAATTGACCTACCGTCAGATTCTGAACTTCCATTTTCTTCTGTTTTTTCGGCACCATTCTCGGATGACTTTTCTTTCTCCTCATCTTCGTTTGCTTTGGCATCCCCATTTTCTACCTTTTCTGCGGGTTTCACGGGGGATGCTTTGTCATCCTTGATTTTTGGTTCTTCTTCAGTGACTTCAACACTGAAAAAAAATTAACAACAATTAAGAAAAATTACTACATGTATTTTTTTTATTTCGATTAGAGACTTCTACTAAATATGTTGGCAGGATAGTTTTCAGGTAAAATCTACGCGTTCGGCACATTAAGTTAATGAATATTTTTCACTGGCTAATTAGCTGTGCCAAAGCCATTATACAATTAAAAAAATAAAAAAAATTTCACTTATATTAACAATCAAGTAAAATATAAACGGAAGGAAATTAATGAATTGAAAATTGATGTATGCATGCAAAACGAAAAACTTCATCTGGGCGATAGTACGATAGTCACTTTTTTTTATTACCAAATGGAGGATCACACATCCTTACTAAGAAATATAAAAAATTCGTATTAAGAAATTTGTAGAAAAATCTATCGAACGACTTTGTAGATTCTTACTAAATCATAAATGTATTTTTAGGAGTTTGGTTGTAAGGCGAGAATTCAATTATTTATTACAGTTCAGTGAAATATTTTTGAATTATCAAGCTTGCGATTTCGTATACATTTTCTATTATGAGTTTAAGAAATATAAGTATTTATAGTTAATAAACTCGTGTTTTAGTACTGGCAACAATAGTTTTAATTAGAATTTCTGACAAAACTTCTTGAGAAAACCAACTTATTTTTGTAGCATAATGTTGTACTAAGTTTTTGATTGTCAAGTTAATTTTAATTTTCCCATTTTCACACATCCTCCACTATACAGCTTTCTGACATACCGCCAAACGGCGCTAGTACGATCAAATAAATACTAATTCCCTTTTTTAGTATGACCAGACATCCATAACGAAGTTACTTTGGTCTGCTTATTCACTTGCTGAGGGATTGTTAAATTTTAGCTGAATGAAAGCACTCTTTACACAAAAAAAACCAAGTAGGTTTTTTTTTGAAACATTATTATGAGATGCATTAATTTGTTTAGTTATATATAGTAAAAAAAACCATAAAATTAAAAACTCTTAAAAACAATAACGAAGCGTATTTTCTCAGAGAAAAATCTTTTTCCTCTTCATAAGCAATTCTGCTTGTTCATTGACGGATTAATACCTCTATGGAAGGTTGTCACTCCATCTTTTGCGCAGTCGTCCGATTCTGTTTTTGCCGATTGGTAACTTACTGACATCTCTTGCTATTTTTAAGACACGGATCTCCTTCATTCTGCTTATGTGGTTATTACATTCTTTTTTCTATTTTGTGTCCATTCATTTATATACTGTACGTTACATTTTCTTCTAATGTCTTCAATTCTCTTTAGATCTCTCAACGTATTTCCTGTAATTAGTCTAAGTACTCTCATCTCTGCTGTTTCCAGTAGCCTTTGCGTTGTGGCCGTGTCTATTCTTGTTTCTGGGGGATATGTAATTACTTGCCTTACACTGGATTTATAAATTATAATAACTTCATTCTATTATCTATAATTAACTTCATCTCAGTGTTAATGTGTTTGTTTCGCCATATAGTGTTATTAAGGCATCCTGCCAGTCTATTTGCTTTTTATACTTATCTCTCACTTCTTTGTCCAGATCTCCATAGCTAGACAGTGTAATTCTCAGGTATTTTATTTACATTGCTTGTTCAATACTGATGCCATTAATTTCTATTTTACATCTGGTTGGTTCTTTGCTGACTATTATTGTTTTAGTTTTCCGAGATGAGATTGTCATATTAAATTCTTTTGCTCTTATGTTAAATCTGTGGACCAATCTTTGTAGACTATCTTCATCTTGGGCTATCAATATTGCGTCGTTTGCGTAACAGAGTATTTTTATTTCTTTGTTTCCCATTCTGTATCTGTTAACGCTTTTTAATGATTTCATCCATGATCAAATTGAAGAGTATGGGGCTCGGTGAATCTACTTATCTTATTCCGCTACCTATTTCTATAAGTTCTCTAAATTGTCAATCTATTCTGACTTCCATTTTGTTGTTTTGGTAGATGTTTTCGATAGTTTTTATAATATTTAAGGAACTTCTCTATTAAACAGAAGATGGATTACATCTCTGAGTCTTACTCTGTCAAACGCTTTCTTTAGAACTCAGACACAGAAATGCTGGTCTATTATACTCTAGTGATTTCTCAGTAATTTGCTTTATAACGAATATTGCACCTGTACACGATTTTCCACTACGAAATGCCAAATGCTAAACTCATCCTGACTTCCTCGTTCATCAATAACTTATAACAACGATTAATAATGTAATGACTATGTGCTCCGGTATTACAGGTGTTAGTGAAAAACCATTTACATATTTTTAAGTGTAAAAAAAAGGAAACATTACGGAGCCAAAAACACATAAAGGAAAACAATCAATAGAAATTAATGACTTTCACAGAAACGGAGAAAAGTTCATTCGTTCTATTTAAACAAGGAGATTTCTACATTGGATACAATATTAAAGACAATACGAGATAATAATTTTCCCACTTTGGCCAAGATAAGTTATGGAAATTACTTAAAAAAATCGGTTGTGGCTACGAAAATCAAAGAAAAAACCTGTAATGAACGATGCAGAAGAGATTGTTTGTTGGCGACGGCAATATTTGAGAACGATAAACAGATTTAGATTAGAAGGAAGATGTATTTTCTATTTAGATGAAATCTGGCTAAACGAAAATCAACCGTTTCAAAAGTATTGGTAGATAAAAATATATTAAAAAAGTTCTCGATAAGCCTTTTTGGAAGAATTTAAATGATCCCACAGGAAACGGTCGAAGATTAATAATCCAGCATATTGGTAGCGTAAATGGTTTTGTGGATAATGGTCCACTAGAGTTCGTTCCAAAATCCACTAACAATTACCACGAAGAAATGAGCTCGGATGTCTTTGAGCAATGTCTTCGACGATCTCACGAAAAAAAGTAGATATAATTGACTGGCTCTAAAGGTGCGTATACATATGCGCGCCGCGAACCTCGCGCCTTGTGTGCGCCGCGCGTTCGTGGCGCGTTCAATGTTCGTTGAAATTTTTCATTTTGGCGAACCTTCCGCGATCCAAAGAAAACTGACGAACATTTAATAATTGTAGATAATCACGTCTCTGTCAAGCGATAAAACTTACGCTATTTCTGTGATGAGTGGTGCTTTCTTGGTAATGGCCAGTGTGTTTCACGTCGGTAAGAAGACAACAAGGAAATCACCTTTTTTCTACATTGGTCCGCATGTATATTTATTTCAGCTTCTATTTCCCTCCAGGCATCGGCTTTAGGTGGTTTTTTAAAATGGTCCTTATGTTGAGGATCCCACAATAGGGATTTCCCACGGTAAGCATCAATAAGTTTGATATTTTCTTCTGACCACTCCATTACTACCAAATATTTTAAGATAATATACTATTATAATACTCAGACGCGCCAAAAATCAACACACCTTTCACTAACCCGTCCAAATATGTAATGCGAACCACCAAAGTGTTCGTTGAAAAACCGACAGAAGGTGGATCGTAGTGCGCCGTATGTGCGCCGTTTGTGCGCCTCTTGCAAACACGTACTAACCTAACGAACATGCTACAAACGAACAGCGCGCGCGCCGAGCGGCGCGCATATGTATACGTACCTTAACGCAAAACAATATCGTTTGATCAGACGATCAAATATCTTAACCCTAGGATGCGTGACTGGACCGTTCTTTACATTTACATAACATGGGTAAAAAATAACAGACTATTATATTGGCTTATATTGAGCAAATTTTTTTAATGCCAGATTTTCCAAATTCTAGATATTTACTGCTTGAGAATTCTCATGACAATCGAAAAGGAATGTAGACTGATAAACAAGTTGAAATAGCCACAAAATGGCGTTTTTTAAAACATCCTAAAAGATGACACAAATGACTGCAATTTACTATTTGGAAAATTGACTAAAACCCACTTTCGCGGAGTGTAATACTTAATATTCTTAAGCAATACTTTTTGCTGTCTTGTTAGCGCCTACAATTACAATAGAAATGTCATATGGTCACTTTTATAAAAGTGATAACAGTTGACTAATACCGCACATTTACTTTATTTATTCGACTAATTCTTATTAGTTAGACTTGTTAGGGATCGTTGCACAGTATTGATACACAGTAAGAGTTCTAACTCAACATAAATGCTATAGGTTTCCGCAAAACGTAATGTGTATTTCGAAGACTGTTTTAATACAGTGTAAAATCTCAAAAAACAAGTTTCTGATACATAGAGGGTATCCAGTCGTCTGTTTTTGTTTTAAAAGCTTGAAAATTTTCTATTTTATATATCGTACACTGATGTCTTCAAGCATCATTTTTTTGATCTTACTAAAGACGTACTCCTTTGTATGTTTCGCTTCTATGTATTCTATCGTATGCTTGTTTGAAATATGCAGAAATTTTTGTGCTCAGAATTGCCACATAATATTTGTTTCAATATAAAGATCTGATCGGCAACTTGCCTGGAAATCACCAATTGCTTAAACATATTTGCCAACTTTTCCTCTAAAGTACATTCGTTCAGCAAATTCCCAACTGTAAACAAACGCACGTGTTGACATTCGCCCTCTCATTCGTCAAGAGGCTATTAAATATAATTTGTAAATTGTAGCGTGTTGGTTTTTAAGTTAATATATTGTGTGTTATATGTTAAAGTTATAACACTGGTCGTGTTATTTTTTAGAGTTTAGTTTAAGTGTTTAGTATTAAGTTTTATAGTGCGTATTCAACTTTTAGTATCCAAAAACAGTATTTGTTAATCAAAAGTAAAAATAGCTTGCGGTAATCACTTTAATAAAGGTAAGAGAAATCAATATCTTAAAATATTGGTGTTTATAGAAAATATAGAATAGAAAAAATTTATTTCTTTTTTAGTCCATTTATTCACGGTTTTTGTCGTAAATATTACAGAACCGCTTGGATTGACATGAAATTTGGTATATACATAGTTAACTGCAAAGCAAAAAAGTGATATTCTACCGATTGTGTTGTTGCCAGGGGGTGAGTTTCACCGCTTCTCGGGTGTG